CCTGCACAGGATTCCCCGCCTCCAGAACCAGCTGAGCCGGGGCTGGAGCCTGAGCCTGAAGGGTCCTCACCTGTGCTGGATCCTCGGGTACAGGCACCAGCTGAGTCTGCTCTGGCCCCTGAGGTGATGGAGGACCCATTGCCTGCAGGTGCTCCACTCTCAGCCCCGTCAGAGGAAGCGGAGGTTGCCTCTGGGTCCGGTGACCCTCCAGCCTCTCCTGAGATGCAGAGGCTCAGGGCAGAGAGGCGGAGGGAACTAAGTTCTCGCAGGAGGAGTGCTTGCCTCCAGGCCAGGAGAGGTGAGTCACCAGGGGATCGGGGCCGCCCTATGCCTCGGGGAAGATAAAAGCCGGCCAGCCCCTGTCCCAAGTTGCGGGAGCAACATTTGTTGGTAGCTTGTTCCTGCCCAAACCCTGTCCTGCTCTTCTGCCAGAGTTCCTGACCTCACCCGACTCCAGGCCTTGGACCCAGCTTCAGCTTTGACGGACAGCCTCCATGCTGCACCCTTGACCTTGGTCTGGACTTGGACCTCGCCTCACGGTTAACCCACAGCACACCAACCCCTGCTCTAAACAAATTGTTGCAAGCTCCATGTAGCTTTCCCTTACTTCTTCCCAACCCACCAGCAGCTCCCAGGACTTTCACACAAGATGCCCCCACAAGACCTTCTCCGTTCTACTCCTTTCTCACTGGCCCAGCCATGATCCGGAGACGATTATCTCCAGCCGCCACACAGAGAGCCCTCAAAGCTCACAACGAACCTTTGGATGGCTCCGTTGCAATCTCCACGGTGCAGAAGAGGAATCTCTGCAAAGGCACTTGAGCTAATTCTGTCTTTGAAGGATGCGGAGGAGGGAGAAAATGAAATAGCTGGTATCTCTCCCCTGCGTTCTGCTGTTCTCTTTTGGACTGGGAAGGCTGCAGCGAAACAGAGACATATCTAGGGATGCAGTTCAGGACTATGATGCCAGGGACTCTAGAGGGGGCAGCCCCACAGCCCAACCGAGCCCTATTGGTGCTCTTAATGATGCAGTGCATGTGATTTTGTAGAATCCTAGAACTGCAAAGTTGGAGGGGTCCTAAAGGACCATCTAGTCCAACCCCCGACAATGCCTTTGATTTCCTCCCATATCCATGTCTTCATCATCATCATCTGTCAGGGAACTGCCATCAGTGCCGGAGGGAGAGAGAGAGCTCCAGAGGGATCCCAGAGAGCGTCACGGGATTGGGAGAGGCAGCCCATCTTCTGGGGAAGGGAATCAGCTCAGCTCCAGTGGAGAAGGGGGCAGATGGGGGAATCTGAGAGGAGTCACATGACTCCTTGCCTGGGACCAGTGGGGGGAGGAAGGGTCCTCCGCTGCCTACGCCTTCCTTGCGCAGAAGGCTTCCGCGCAGGGAAAGTAGGAGGCGACTGGGCGTGAAAGAACTTCTATGCTGGAAGAAGTTTAAGAAACGCCCACTGACAGATTCTGCCAGCGATTGAGACAGCCACGGGTGAGTGGCTGTCCAGACAGAAAAGGTTCACTTAGGCAACCCAGCCAGGTGTGGGCACCGGCTTACGCACGAGCAACCCCTTGAACCACTACAGCAATCCGTCAGTCCTTGACGTTGCTTGTGCGCAGTACCAGAGAGGCAGCACGATGAGCCAAACAGAGCCGGCCGGAGGAACAGAGCAAGAAGCCTTGATGCGAGGGCTGGTAGAGAGGAACCGAGACCTGGAGGTGCATGTTGCTACCCTGACGGCGCGGCTGTATTATTTATACCTCACCCATCTGGCCAGGCCTCCCCAGCCACTCTGGGCAGCTTCCAACAAAAGATTAAAACATCAAACATTAAAAACTTCCCTAAACAGGGCTGCCTTCAGATGTCTTCTAAAAGTCCGATAGTTGTTGATTTCCTTGACATCTGATAGGAAGGCATTCCACAGGTTGGGTGCCACCACCGAAAAGGCCCTCTGCCTCGTTCGCTGTAACCTCGCTTCTCACAGTGAGGAACCGCCAGAAGGCCCTCGGAGCTGGACCACAGTGGCTGGGCTGAGCGATGGGGGTGGAGACACTCCTTCAGGGATACTGGGCTGAGGCCGTCTTGTTCAGAATCAGAGGCTAAATAGGTTGCTGAAATGCCAGCAAGGGTCACAAGTTACTCTAGTGCTGTAGTTGTTCATACAATCATAGACTTAATAGAATTGTAGAGCTGGAAGGGATCCAAAGGGTTAATAATAATAATAATAATAATAATAATAATAATTTATTTATACCCCACCCTTCCCGGTTCAAAAACCGGGCTCAGGGCAGCTAACAACAAATTTAAAACACTTAATTATAAAAGCAGCATAAAATACAGTATAAAAACATGAAAAACAATAAAATTCAAAAATCAATTTAGAGGAAATAAGCATTAGATAATCAATCCCCAGGGCTAGCTGACTGAATTGGTCCTACTTGGGCCAGCGAGGAGGCCAGGGGAGAATTAGCTGTGGGGTCTCAGAATGGGTGATCTTCATAAAAGGGGAGGGGGAGGGAAGGGAAATAAAAGATCAGGCTGAATTCAAATTAAAGGCCAGGTGGAATAGTGGAACAAGATGGAGACAGATTAAAATTGCAGAGCTTTGAAAAACTGAAAAATAAAGTGCGAGATTGGCTCCATTATTACCAAATAATGGAGGCATACAATTTGGACAAAAAAGTTGGTTTCCAGGTGGAAAAATCAAAATTGGAAACAGAACTGTTAGATCCAAAAATTAAGAATTTGTCAAGAATGTATAACTTGCTGTTGAAATGGAACACTCAGGATGAAACGGTGAAATCAGCTATGATTAAATGGGCACAAGATGCTGGACATAATATAATGATGGCTGACTGGGAACAGTTATGGACCACAGGTATGAAATTCATGGCATGTAACGCCCTAAGAGAAAATTTAATGAAAATGATTTATAGGTGGTACATGACACCAGTCAAGCTTGCAAAAATTTACCATTTGCCCAACAATAAATGTTGGAAATGTAATAAGACTGAAGGTACATTCTTTCACCTTTGGTGGACGTGCCCAAGGATTAAGACATACTGGGAGATGATTTATAATGAAATGAAAAAGGTATTTAAATATACTTTCCTGAAGAAACCAGAGGCCTTTCTCCTGGGCATGGTTGGCCAATTGGTGCCAAAGAAGGATAGAACTTTTTTTATGTATGCAACAACAGCAGCAAGAATGCTCATCGCGAAGTATTGGAAGACACAAGATCTACCCACCCGGGAAGAATGACAGATGAAGTTGATGGACTATATGGAATTGGCGGAAATGACTGGCAGAATCCGAGACCAGGGAGAAGAGTTGGTGGAAGAAGATTGGAAAAAGTTTAAAGACTATTTACAGAAATACTGTAAAATTAATGAATGTTAGAAAAATGTTGGAATGAAGTTATATGGCTTTAGTAGAAATGTTACAAGGAATTAAGTATAAATAGATTAAAAGAGTATTAAAGGAAAAAACAAGGTTAGAATGTGTTAAGATAATTATAGGATAGAAAACAGAGGAAGATGGAAAGGAATTGCTGAAAGAATTAACAGAAGTGGAATACAAAAAGGGAGGTGTGAGGAGGTCGTGGAAATGTGAATGAAAGATAAGATACTGAAATTGTTTGATTTATCTTAAACTGTTTTTGTTTTGTTTTGTTAGTTTAATGTGTTAATGTTATGTAGTGCTTTTGTATTGTATTGTATTGTATTGTTTTTGTAGTGTTTAAATTGTTGGAAAAGTAATAAATATTATTTTTTAAAAAAATAAAGGCCAGGTGGAATAGCTCTGTCTTACAGGCCCAACGGAAGGAGGTTAAATCCTGCAGGGCCCTGGTCTCATGGGACAGAGCATTCCACCAGGTCAGAGCCATCACTGAGAAGGCCCTGGTGGAGGCTAGTCTGACTTCCTTAGGGCCCGGGACCTCTAAACTATGGTTGTTCATGGACCTTTAGGTCCTCTGAGGGGCAAACCAGGAGAGGCGGTCCCATAAATATGAGGGCCCTAAGCCACAAATCTAGCCCAACTCCCTGTAATGCAGGAATCTCAACTACTGTAGATCATACATGACAGGTGCCCATCCAACCTCTGTTTCAAAACCTCCAAGGAAGGAGAGTCCACCACCTCCCGAAGGAGACCATTCCACAGCTCTTACTGTCAGAAAGTTCTTCCTGATGTTTAGTCAGAATCTCCTTCCTTGTAATTTGAAGCCATGGGTTCGAGTCCTACCCTCCAGTGCAGGGCGGAAATATGCTTCTTGCATCTTCTTGCACTTTATAATGGCATTTGGACTTCTAAGCTAGTGTATGAACTGGCCTTAAGAGTGGTTGAGATTTGGCTTCCATTGAGTAAAAGGGCCAGTTCCATTGGACATTGGAAGCGATTACAGAAGGAGCGAAGTTCTCTAGGATGTAAAAGTAACACCACTGCCTAAGCTCTGTTGTCAAGAGATGCCATTGTTAATTGCCCAGATCTCGAGATGCTGCAGCCAGACAATGATGTCAGAGTTCTTGAGGTATTATTAATAATAATGACATCAGATAACCAGTCTCAATATGAGTTTTTCATCAATATTGAAACAGCATTGCATATTAATCAGCCCTGCCATTCTGGAACGCAAGGCAATATCTTTTGAAGTTCCTTATCTCCTTGGAAATAATTTGCTTGGGAAGAAGTTCATCAGGACACCTGATCAAAATAGCTGCCACTTCTCTTTCTTCACAAGGGCAGGGGAAGATCATCATCCTCCCCTCGACGTGAAGAAGAAGAAGAAGAAGAAGAGTTTGGATTTGATATCCCGCCTTTCACTCCCCTTCAGGAGTCTCAAAGCGGCTAACGTTGTCCTTTCCCTTCCTCCCCCACAACAAACACTCTGTGAGGTGAGTGGGGCTGAGAGACTTCAGAGAAGTGTGACTGGCTCAAGGTCACCCAGCAGCTGCAGGTGGAGGAGCGGAGACACGAACCCGGTTCCCCAGATTACAAGACTACCGCTCTTAACCACTACACCACACTGGCTCTTTATCAAGGAATTCTTGATAAAGTTTCCTGTGCCACCTCAACCAGTGTGGTGCCAGTGTGGTGTAGTGGTTAAGAGCAGTAGTCTCGTAATCTGGGGAACCGGGTTCGCGTCTCCGCTCCTCCACCTGCAGCTGCTGGGTGACCTTGGGCCAGTCACACTTCTCTGAAGTCTCTCAGCCTCACTCACCTCACAGAGTGTTTGTTGTGGGGGAGGAAGGGAAAGGAGAATGTTAGCCGCTTTGAGACTCCTTAGGGTAGTGATAAAGAGGGATATCAAATCCAAACTCTTCTTCTTCTTCTCAACGGGTCTCCAGTGGCGCCATCATTTGCACCTCTCTGTCTCTGGAGACAATGGAGGAATGCACCTTTGAAGGTGAGGTCAAACCAACAGAGAGTTGCAGCGCCTGACTGATGCGGGAGAGACATGTTTTGTTGCAGCTGGGGCAGGCATCTTCGTTGGACTCTGCGCTGCCATGTGATGCCCAAAATTATTCGTAAGTAGTTAAAACATTAATTAGCATCTGGCTGAGGTCACATGCCATTCCCCCTAACCACAAAAAACCCACACGCGCTCAGCCTTGACTGATGGGTGATAACAGGGCCAGATTCAGGTTTGATGAGGCCCTCAGCTCCTGAAGGTAATGGTGCCCTTTATACGTCCAGCTGTCCTTTGTCAACAACAAATTGTCACTGTTTTTTTTTTTGTTGAATATATGCTATATGGTGATTTATGGACCTCATAGGTATCTCAAGCCATTTGCACACAACAAAATATGTATTTTATCAAAGTAATTGTTGAATACATCCAGGGTTTTTTCCTTTTTGGGGTCCCCCAGGGGAGTGGGGCCCCAAGCTATAGCTTGTTTAACTTATACATAAATCCGGCACTGAGTGGTAACTCCAAGATCCGTCTCACTAAGAGAAGTCACTGATCACCTAATCCTCCAGGCGTTTGTCCAATACTCTTTTAAAGTCATCCAGATTGGTGATCACCACTGCCTCCTGTGGCAGGGAGTTCCATAGTTGAACTGTGCACTGAATCTATTTGTCCTGAATCTTTCAATGTTCAACTTCATTGGATGTCTACAATTTCTAGTGTTATGAAGGAGGTGGGAGGGTGGGAAATATCTCTCCACTCTCCCCATGCCATGCAGAATTTTATAAGCACCTGTCATGTCTCTTATCCGCCCTTTCTCTAAACTGAAAAGTAAAAACAAAACAAAACACTGCCACCTTCCTTCATATGGGAATCTCTCCATCCCTTTGATCATTTCGGTCATCCTTTTCTGATGAAGATTTTCAAACTCAGCAATGCCCTTTGCCTGTTCTAAAAGCTCCTCCATCGAAATCTCTCTGTCTGAGCAAAGTTAGCATTGTTGGGAAAGTATTTCAGGATTAGAACCCTCTTTCCACCCACATGAAGGGAGATCTCGATGTGGGTGAGCATTCAAAACCCAAAACTGTCCTCCATTCTGAGTTGGTCCAGACTTCAAAACATGAGAGTCTTCAGAAGTTTTCGGCAGAGGTTGGAAATCTCTGTTTCAGGGATGCAGCAGCGACAGGTTTCCTTCATCAGCAGCTGTGGGTTTTGTCTGCATGGCCAACTCTCCAATTCTATGACTGTGGTATCCGGGCTTTTTCTTTTTTGGCTCTAAATCCCAGATTCAGTTTAAATGATTAATAGACTAGGGCTTTGGGTTAATTTACTAACTCTGCCATTTGGCAGCATAATAAGAGTCATCAAGATAGTATTAAAATTTGCATGCCTTACCACTTCAAGCCAAGGGAGGCCTCGTTCCCGTGAATTTCCTAATGAAGGAACTTTTCCTAAACCCATTTCTTCCCTTTTAGATTTTTTAAAATCTATCACAGGCCTTGGAAAGTTATTCAAGTGAATCCAGTCTTCTCAGTCTTTGGATTTTGCAAAATGTAGCACACATTATATGTGGAGGCCATAAACACATGTTATTTATTTAGCTATCGTTAAGTTATTAAAGTAATGCCTGTGGTACTGGCCACTATTTTTGCAGACCCAAAGTGGCTAAATGCCCTTCCCTGCCGGGAGGATGCCCAGCTAATAACATCCAATTCTGATAAGACTAGGTTACCAGATGTCCCCGTTTCTTGGGGACAGTCCCTGGATTCACAAATCTGTCCCCGGACAAAATCCGTCCCCAGAATGTCCCCGGATCTCATTTAATGTCCCCGGATTTATATTTTAAGTGTTGTAGATTTATTAGTAGGGAATTAATGTTGCGTGATCGGTTCAACGGCACCAGACACATCATATGGGGACTTCCTTCGAGGCAAAGTGGTGGGTACCATGGCAGCGAGCAGCTCCTGAAGCCAGCCAGAGCCAACTGCGCTACCAGCCTGGCTCTGGGCTGCTGAGGCTGCCACTGCTGCCACCACTGCCGAGGGCAAAATGGGGATGCCTGTGGTGTCAACTGGGGGAACCACTGACCCCCCCATGACCCAAATCGAGCTGGGAGCAAGAGCGCCTGGCCACCTGGCCAGCTGCCCAGCGGCACTCCAGGGCCAGTAAAACCCCCGGAGCCGACGCAGGGAGAAGGAGGAAAGGAGAAGGAAGAGAGAGAAAAAGGAAGGAGAAAAAAGAGGGGAGCCCCAACCTTGCTGCATTGCTGCCGCCGCCGCCACTGAGAAGAGGTAGGAGAGCACCGGGAGGGCAAGGACATGTGGCCAAGCCCAGACCCGACCCGAGACTACTCCATGGCAGATAGCACTCCAAGAGATCAGGCCGGAACCCAGAGGAAGGCCGCGCGACAGAAGACACCCAGAAAAGAATATATTACTTCTCATTTTTTAAAATAATGGTTTTTTAAAAAATAACTTTTTTTCTCTTTTCAAAAAAAAAGTGTCCCCGGATTCTTTGGAAAAAATCTGGTAACCTTAGATAAGACCATATCCAAAAAGAACAGTTTGAGCCTTCCAACATTTTATTTGCACCCCATCTTTCCCACAAGGAACTTGATGGGGCATATGGGGTTATGCCCTTTGAGGTAGGCTATGCTGAGAGGTAGGGATGCGGGTGGCGCTGTGGGTTAAACCACAGAGCCTAGGACTTGCCGATCAGAAGGTTGGCAGTTTGAATCTCCACGACGGGGTGAGCTCCTGTTGCTCGGTCCCTGCTCCTGCCAACCTAGCAGTTCGAAAGCATGTCAAAGTAGATAAATAGGTACCACTCCGGCGGGAAGGTAAATGGTGTTTCCGTGCACTGCTCTGGTTCGCCAGAAGCGGCTTAGTCGTGCTGGTCACATGACCCGGAAGCTGTACGCCGGCTGCCTCGGCCAATAAAGCGAGATGAGCGCCGCAACCCCAGAGTCGGCCATGACTGGACCTAATGGTCAGGGGCCCCTTTACCTTTACCTATGCTGAGAGGTAGCAACAGGCTCAAGGACACCAGGTGAGCTTCATGGCCGAGTGGGGATTTGAACCCTGGTCTACCCAGACATATTAACCTCTACACCACATTGGCCTTTGCACCTGAAAGGGGGTCAGCAACATTACCTGGCCATTCAATAAGCTTTTGTGCATGCAAGACTAACGCTCTAAGTTTGATGGACGGAAAGCTATCCTCTGGCAAGGGAGCTTTATAAATACATAAGAAATATGCAACCCGCCCTTTGTATACCTACAGGGCAAGCCTAGCCGTGTCTCCTGAAAAGGAAGTCTGGTTGTGTTCACTCCCAGGTAAACGGGGCTAGAACTGCAGCCTTCAAAATGGTAATTTCCACCATTTCTTTCAGGCAGAATTGAGCAAAGTCCCTAAATGACTTTACAGGTAATTAACTAGCATTGCATGGGATATGGAAAGCAGCTCCTTGTTAAGTGCATTTCCTTTAATTACAATTTAAAAGGTTCAGAAGGAGATATTAATTATAGTTTTTTCAGCTATCTTCACCCGCACTTGGCAAGCCTACAGCTTGCCAGGGGATGCTCTGGAGAACATCTTCTCAGCCATTCGGTTAAATATCAGTTCTGAGTGCAGCCTCCTGACGGGCTGCTTCTACATTTGCTGTGCTTTGCGCAACGCGGCCGAGAAACCCATTTCACAGCTCTGGGCTAATTATAGCGGCATCTGCAGCCCCCGCCATCCTCCTCTCCCACCTCTGCTGTCTGGATCACTTGCCTACTCACCAGTTTGCATGCTCACCCTGAGCAGCTAAAAGAGGCCCTGGGAGGCCGGAGGGACATTCCTCCATCCATGAATGTGGGAAGGAAGACCTGCTCCCTGCTGCCAGGCCCATTGCCACCTGGGACCCATCTAGAGCAGGACCCAGACTCACCCTGGACAGCTAAAAGAGGCTCCTGGGAGGCCCCTGGAACATGGCTGGAACAACTCTTGGCTTGCGGCAACTGGCTAAAATGTCTTAAAATGCTTTAAATGGTTCTCCTTTTGGTTCCTCTGTTTGTTTTTGTCAGGTTGGTGTTGGTTAAATGTTTAGTTGGTGGTTATTTTAATCTAAACTGTTTGCAATGATAATAATAATATTTTATTATCTATACCCCGCCCATCTGGCTGGGTTTCCCCAGCCACTCTGGGCGGCTCCCAATTGAGTATTAAAAACAATACAGCATTAAATATTAAAAACTTTCCTAAACAGAGCTGCCTTCAGATGTCTTTTAAAAAAAGGATAGTTGTTTATTTCCTTGACATCTGATAGGAGGGCTTTCCACAGGGTAGGCACCACCGCCGAGAAGGCCCTCTGTCTGGTTCCCTGTAACCTCGCTTTCTTGCAGGGAAGGAACTGCCAGAAGTCCCTCGGAGCTGGACCTCACTGTCCAGGCTGAACGATGGGGGTGGAGACTGCTCCGTCTCCATGTTCAGAGGCAGCAGTGCTTCTGAATGCACTCTGGACGTGCTCAGAGACACTGTGCAGCAATGCATTGAACCAAAATGCCTTTTCACTCCCATAACCGTGCCCCGCAGAGTGCTTGCAAAGCCGGAGCCGTGTCTGCCTTTCTGAGCATTTTGCTATGTACCAGACGCCGTGTTGGTATTCTGTAATCCGAGGATTACTTCCCGGAAAATCCAATACAAATAAAGCTATCATGTGCTATC